TGGATAAGTCTCAGGACCCTTTCCTTTAATCTAAAGAGTTCCTAGAGTTCTGAATGAAGTTCAGTATTTTTGCTTATGTCTACTTAAAATATTATTGCAAATATGTCCTAAATCTCTGAAGTTCTGTGCAAAACATTGCCTCTACCCACTCATTTCCTTGGTAACACAATGAAAGTGCTGGTAAGGAATGTGAAGAGCAGTGGGACTGTCCTCTGTTACCTTTCAACTACTGTAAAATATTCCCTACACGTATGACATCTGATTGTCTTAGCCCTAGATGGTCCTTAAATAAGTGCTTATCTACAGAATTGCTAGATAATCTTGTATTCAATGGAAAAGCATGTTTGCACACACAGGTATGCTATAATACCTAGAGGTATGCAGACTACTGAAATCAAGACATAGTCATTTCATTATAAATAGAATCCACATGGAAAAGAACTCTTGAAATTCATCTGCCTGAGGGAGTTTTCAACCCTAGCTATACAAAGAGGACATGCTCTGCAAACAAATACATACAGCACATATTTAGAGAAAAAATTCTAATTCCATTTAGGCCCTAGGTCTAGGACTCTCGATAAGGTACACGTCTTCTTCAGGAAAGACACAATTTTAAGGATGACAATCTTTTTCTTCAGGGGAAGCTACAACACATTCCCACCCTTCAAGAAAATACAAGACTGATGATTTGGGGATTTTGCTGATTAATTATTTTCTTTAGTTTAGTTATTACTTCTTTTTTTTTCAGCTCAGAAGTATGGTTCCATTTACCCTGTTAAAACTTTTCTCAGCAGTCAAGGAGAGTATAGCACAGCTGCCCCTGAGCCAAGTTTGTAAATCGTACTCAGAAACCACCCCACACTGTCAGATGACATGGTTTTCAGACACGTCTAAACAGACTAGTTGAATTAAAGACCAAATCCAGACTTGATGTTGCTGAGCTCATCAGCTCCATCTTGCCATCCTGATTGATCGAGGAGATGGGTCTATAGTTAAAGTGGCATAGCATTTTGAGGGATTAGTCATTAGAGCACACTGCTTTCTCTTTGGAAGGCAACTTCTTGCTTGACTAGGTTTTGGAAGCTAAGGAGTGACGTCAAGATGTTGTCTGGCCAGAATTTGCAGATAACCATTGAACTCTTCTCCATCAGGCATGGATTTAGCCTCCTTAGTTCCTGCAGTGACACAGGAGCCTCCAAATACCAAATTATTATCAGGCGATCTTGGGGTAACCTCTGGGCCCTGCAATAAAGTAGACAAACTTGCTATTGGAAAGTGACCAGGAGCAATTCAGCCCTGTTCAGATTGCTCTAAAAACTTGCAAATGAAAAACTCATGTGACTCCTGATAGTGAAAATGTTGGATTTTTTTTGGGGGGTGACAGGGGAGGAATAATTCAGAATCATTTTTTACTTAAATGATTTTATGCATCATTGAAAGAAACCTGGCTTGATTATGCTTCTTTCTTGTTGTTTTGTTTTTAAAGCAAAGACTTGCAGGAGTGGAGGCTATGCCGTTTTGGACATGGTACTATTGAATATTGTTTTGCATTATGAAGTTTTTGTATTAATCTTTTGGAAAATTCAGCAGATCATAACCAAGCATGTATTAGGACCAAATAAAATTTGTTTTTATAAAATTTACTGACTCCACCATGTATTTTAAATATTGGGGAATTCACTTAAAATAATAATTTTTTTTCTCTGGTAAATTATATGAGACCCATTTTCTGACACAGCATTCACTGCATTATGACCTCATTTGGTCTGACCTGCTTCTCATACTGAACTTTCTCTTCTCTATAGGTAAGTTAGGTCTAGAATACTTTTCTAACACATCCTTTCACAGTGCACTTTTACATGAAAATATTATTAACCACTGACTTCTCCAGTAAAATCCAAAATGTAAAGAATTTGTAATTATTTTTACTAAATCTCTAGTTCCTATATTGTAAAGTATAGGTAATCAATAAATGTTCAGTAAACTGAACTTAGATTCTACTATTTCAGTTTAGTGATATAAAACTGAGTCATCTTTTTTGTAGGATCACAATTGCATTCTAAACTCAACATATTTTTAAAAGCACATCTTTTGAAGAAAGATAATTAAATATGTTGAGTTTTGCCTCAAACTTTGGAGAAGTCTAAATATTGGTGGCAGGCCATGTACTATTTTACTTTAAGTATATGAAAACAGTTATGAATTCTCTCTAAGATCTTCTTTAACCTGTTTTTCAGCTACAATCTATGCAACTTACTCAAAGAGCTCCTCCTTAGAGGTTCTTTAGATATGAATTTATAAAAATATTCCATGAAAATAACTTAATTAAAAAGTAAGATGCTCAATTTTATAGACCCATAGTAATATCTCTTTTCTCATGTCAGATATGTGAAGTTTGAAATATTTTAACTTCTGGTTGCCTAAAATCAAGATGTTAAAAAAACATTTTTAGGTAACTAATATGCTAAAATTGTTTTCTAAATATTTATCATTTTATTTTATTATTTTCTGGGCCATGATCAGTTATGCTCAGAGTTTACTCTTGACTCTGGGTTCAGAGATTATTCAGAGGACCATATGCAGTGCCAAGGACTGAAATTCCTTACCCACTGAACTACATCTTCAGCCCAATCTAAATATTTGAATTGACTACTATATTATTATAATTTTATAATAAACACACTTTGTTGTAGGCAAATTTAATAGTGTAAATATAAAGACTATCAGTCACCTTAATATTAGTAATTAATTTTCAATAATATTTAACAATATCTACTCAACATCAAAGGTACATCATGTTCTAGTCTCTTCAAATAATGGTTCTGATATCTGGGAACTTACAATTTTATCTTAAGTAGACTATAGAAAAATATACCTTAATGTGATCATTTTCAGAACTTAATGAAAGAAAGCAGATGCATTCAAGATATAGAAAAATGTTCTGGGATTTAAAAATGACATTTAAGAAGGGAGCAGAAAACTGCTTTTGTGCTCCAATTTCTTTTGAAAAGTAGTCAGGGAAGATGTTAAAGTTCAGCTGTATTTAAAATGATTGAAGAACACATGACTTTATGACTGAAGAAAAGAAATGTCTGTTGGTGTAAGATTCTGAGTGACAGAGAACTCTGGGATCAGTAAGACCAATGGTATACTTATAAGTATAAGTATACTTCCAATAGTATACTTATAGGGAAGGGATAGTCAGCAGAGAATCAATTATTTGGAATAGGAGATGGAAGATGAATGAAAAGTTCAAGTCTCCCCAATTTTCCTTCCATTTCTTCTAAGTAGAAAAATAATAAGAGTGTCTCAGTCATAAAACTAAGAGTTGTCCAAAACAATAAAACTGCAATACTATAGCTTTCAAATGTCTCCATGGATTCCAGATTAAGAAATGACCTTTGGAAACTTTCATGTGGGATTCCTAAGAGAAGAAAATACTTCTAGGAGAGAAACAGATTTGGCAGCTCTCTAGTATACTTTTTATTATAGGATTTCATTTATTTTGTGATCCATGTTTATGGAGAATGTTCTAGGATAGTGTTATCTATGGTTGTTGTTGTTGTGTGTTTTCTTCTTTGTTCACTTGCTGAAGACACTGGTCTGGAGTATCTACTGGGTTATTCAGCTTTCTTTTCTCTAATGATAAGGAAATTAAAAGTTGAATACAGGGTGATTTTAGTCAATTCCAATTATAACAGTCTCTGGGTAAATGAAGAGCCTCAGACATTTTGATATATGTGGTGATAGGGGTGTCAAACAACTGTTGCTAGGGAAAGCAGTCAAAATAATGACAGAATTTCCCACAGCATATCCTGATTGACCATTTTCAATATTTTACTTTGATTCACCTAAGTTTCTCAATGACCTTTGGGAAATGTTCATTTTAATAAAAATGCACATTATAAGTGACACTTCATACATCTTATTCATCTTATAATGATAATAATAGGTCAATAATAACGATTTGAAATAATGCTTTTCTATTTCAAGAAACTCAGTGTTATTCACAGGTGCCACTCTACTTATTTTGTCATATTACATTTTCATCTGGAATCTATAATGTGCTCCAAGCTCAGAAAGTACAATCTTATGATGCTATTTCTCCTCATTTAAGTCAAATAGTAAACATACATTATAACATATAAATGCAATTGAATCTGAAGGAATGAAAGATATTTCCTTCAAACTAAAGCACTAATTACTAAGTTCCCTTTCCTGATATGTAAATTCTGTCCCCACAGCATAAGCATGCAATGGTTCTACCTTATCTCTGAGAAAGAGCAGCGCAGGACAAAAATGTTTAAGATAGGGTAAGACAACACACATTGATAGAAGTTATCTATTTTTTATTGTTTTCCTAAAGATTGTGCTCAATTTTAATATGTAATTCATGACATAGAAGATGGGAAAAGAGTTTTGGAAAAATAAAACCCAAGCTTTCCAAGATTTATCAGTGGATTAATGTGGTTCTGAGAAATCTATTAGCTACACGACAAGAGTTAGATGTTGTGATGACCCTTTAGTGAGTATCATGTTGGGAACTAGAACTGAACAAGAATATAGAACTACCCAAATTGATGCCACTTGTACACAAAACAACATCTTTGACATGCATAGTTTACTCTTTCAATAAATCAAATTTAAATCTCATCAACTGATTGTCTTCTGAAACTAATGTACATGCATTCTACTGGTATGTCTGGTTTCTGTCTCTATTTCAAGATAAGCATGCCTTGATTCCAACTTTGTGTTGACAAATGGTTTTGGAAATAGATCCCAAAAGAAATCAGCATCGACCAAAAATTCCAGAAGAAGAGATAGTCTAATATTTCCATAAACAGCAAAGAAAAGTATCTATTCCATGAACCCAAAGTGCCAAAAATCTTTAGACATTTCACTGTTTCTCCACTCAGCCATCCTCATCTGGGACTCTGATAAACACAGATTGATACAACTATTCAGAAAATGGGCCAATATGTATAAACAGCTGTACTTACATGTGTCTGGCTTGAGCTGACTATTGGTGATGCCAAAGTACTGGGGATTTTCAATGACAGGGATCTTGGTCATTCCAATAATGACAGCATCAGGGCCGCCCTCCGAAGATGAAGGGGTATTACTCCCATTGGAGATGTGGTGGAGTGGGCTAGCAGAGTCATCATCATTGCTGATAACCGAGGCTGGACCTGGAGTGGGAAAAATTACACATTCTCCTATAATGTTGTCATGCCTTTGTTAAGCTAAAATTCACATATATACTATCCACAGTTAAACTGCACGATTCAGTGGTCATTCATATACCCAAAGAGCTCTGCAACCATCCCTACAAACTAATTTTTGGACATTTACATTATCCCAATTAGCAACTGCTCCCCAGTATCCCCATTGCCAGTCCTAGAAATCCACAAGTTTACATTTTTATTCTATGAATATAACCATTCTGGATATGTCTTATCAATGGAATCATATAACACAATCTTATAGAACAGTTCTTTCATTTAGCATACAATATTTAAAGTTCATTATTGTTACAGTCTTTATTCTTATTCCTTTTAGTTTCCAAATAATATTCTACAGTTTCCATATGCCACAGTTTGTTTATTCACCATCCGATAAAGATAAACATTTGGATTGTCTTAACCTTTTGGCAGTTATGAATAATGTCACCATGAGCATTCATGTATAAGTTTTTAGTGGACATAAATTCTCTTGAGCTCAGATGATAGTCCTATGCAAAACATTTTAGGGAACTGCCATAGTGTTTTCCAAAGTAGGTGCTCAATTTTCTATTCCCACCACCCATGTGTGAAGGTTCTAATTACACTTTGTTTCATTTTATTGTAATTTAATATTCAGCTTTCCTGTGTTCTTTGAGAGTCTATAGAAGATTTTTTCATTTCCAGTATGAATTTAGGATTCCTTTTTTAACATGATGCTGAAAAATTTACTAGAAAATGGTATACTGGAAAAATTTACTAGAAACTCAAAGACTTGAGTTTCTTTTCCCACATTTTAGACAATATACTTACCTTCTTTGCAACTCTACATCCACTTACATTTGCAAGATATGAAAAAATATATATGCCTCTTACTTATGAGAATAAAAATTATATTCCCAGTACAGACACACAGTGCATATTTTAAAATATTTAATGCATATATATGAATATTCATATTCTAAATGACCATAGAAGTGCTGAGTCAGAATTATGTTGGCTTGTCCTATTACTATGCTCTTATTTTTGAATGTTCCATCTGTACTTGCACCGTGACTCAGTTACCTGTAAAATACTTTCACAATATTAATGGGTATTCACATGACAAATGATGTGACTTTTCTCTAATTGTAATACTATTTGTAGAGTAATTATATATTTGTTGCTACCTTTATACAATAGCAATAATCAAACTTTCTTATTCAGTCTCAGAATGGACATTCCTATAAAGTAGCCTTTAAAACACACCTTGTCTAAGCAATGAGTCCATTAACCACTTAACCAATACTATCTAAAACTTCAAAGAGATTATAAACATAATGTCCACACAGAAGCACTGAAATTATTAAGATCCCTGTGGTTCATGACATACCTTCCACACAGAAAATTCCTAGGTCTATTTTACAAATGTTTCTGCAGTATACCAAATAGACACCAGGGTCTCACAGAAGCAGACCACTGGCCACTACCACTGCCATCATACTAGAAAGCAATAGGAAGAAAAAGAGGAGAAAATAAAATGAAGACAACATTGACAGCCTGCCAAGAAAAGATATACTAGTGAAAGAAAGTCTTGCTACTCCCTGGCCAAGGGGATTTGTTTCTACCCAATCTCCCAGAAGCATCCATCATCCTTGATTTTTCCATAACCCTTAACTATTTCAGTGTGAAGTATGAAGATTCTAAAAATACAACTTACTGTATGATGTATTCTTGAATTCCCTATGAAATACAATGGTAAATTATTTCCAAATCTCCAAGTTCCAATTCTCCTTATATAGGGATTATCAGTTTGTAGTGATGACATTTGGACATTTGCCCCTAGGAGAGTCTTAAACTACACAGGAGGAAGTGAGCTGCTTTTAAAAGTACTTTTTTTTAAGCATTCACTCAGGAGGATGCACATTTAAGTTGCTTTTAATAATGCACTGGTTAAATTCTTCAACCAAGTCTTCACACAGCCCATTTAGAAGCCATGAAACACTCAAAGTAATAAAAGTCAACCACCAATATGTTCATCCTTTGCTTGGTTCACCAGTGATTGTAAAGAATAGACTTCTGCCAAAGAGAGTTCTTTTTAAAAAACAATATATGGAATGTCCTTTTGAATACCTTTAATCATCTTTGTTGTAGGATTTGTTTCTGACAGGCCTAGATTACCCAGAGTTCCAGGTTTAAATCCAAAGAAAGAAAATAAAAATGTGTGATGATGCTGTTTGTGTCTCTTGCTATAAATCTTCTTCCCCTCCCCACAACCACCACCACGTACCACGAAATCCCTCAATCCCAGTGCAACTGTTCCCTCCTTGGAGATTTTCAAAGCATGTTCCTGTCTACGCTTCACAGGGGAGTGGGAGTTCAGTGAAGGCAGAACATTTCTCAACAGACCATAGGCTGCATGCCTACCCCCAGAAAAGCATGAACTGTCATATTGTAACACTCCTTAAACTGTCAGCAGACCCGAGAGCCCCTGAGAGAATTAGAAACACACAAATCCCAGTTGCTCTAACTCTGCTCTGGTCCAGGTGGCTAAGCAACATTCACATACCATTCAGTCATTATAGAGAAGCTGGATGCCCAGAAATGATGCTGAGATTTCTCCAGAAAATTGGGCTCTGAGTCACCTCCCAGGGACACAGAAAGGAACTTTTTCTAAAAGTTTACGCAAGGGACTTTCTCTTTGTTTTCTCTCCACCTCTCTGTGTAAAAGCCCCAATTCTGAGGTGACAGATTGCAAAAGAATAGGCTTTCAGTTTAGAAGAGAAATGCTTCTGCCTAGAAGTGGTATAATACTCCAAAGGTAATTTTCAAAAGCCTTTTTCACTTTGCCAGAAGGTCACTGTTGACAAATTTGATCAACATAAAAATCTCAGTAATTCTTCAAGTAGAATATTAATTCAAATGCAGTTTCTTCATTATTGATGTTGGAAATCCTAGAAGATTGATATGACTGACAAATTCACAGAATGTGACCCATTTTTCTATGAACATTTTGGTCTAATGAAGAGCACAGGAAAGTTGGAAAGGGAAAAAGCTCTCAACAGGGACAATGAGTATCTATATAATTTGACAGCAACCTGTCTGTGCCTGTCAGTGGATGTGTCTTTGTGTGTCTGTGCACGTGCTTCAAACACCAGAAAGAGACAGACAGAAGATTTGGGTCACATTGCACAATGTGCTCTAATAAATTTATCTGAAGACTTAGAAAATAGTGCATTATGAATCATTTTTTAAAATAGTAGGTATGCATGCACTTGTTTTGTTTGGCATAGATAGCTATAATTATTGAGCTCACAGATAGGAGTTAGGCTTGAAAAAATCTTTAGCCAATATTTATTTTTGACTTTTTTCAAGGACAAAGGGGGCCTTTACTTTCACCAGAGCAATTCAATATTTTTTCTTGCGCATCAGCCTTTACCAGACATTTCTATCTTGGACTTATTTTCCTATGATAAGAATCAATGAAGGCTACCTGGGAATAGAGTTTCCTTCATTCAAGATCAGTAAAGCATATGAGATGAAGGGAGAGGTTTTTGTTTTTAAGAAGCTGTGTTATTCTGATTTTTATGATCTATGTCCTGATGCCTCAATACCTGAGGACTTGCTGATCCTGAAGGAACTGGTCCTTCCAGGGTTAGCCAATTCTGGAAATAACATAGGAATGGCCTGCAAGCATACATTTAATATGCAAACCAATGAACCCACAATCTAAACCTCCAACCACATTCCTCATTAGGTAACCCAACTGGAGTTTCTCTCTAACTATCTACATACCCCAAAGTCAGACTTTAGACATCCCATAGCCCACTGAAGTTATTCAATCTAGTGAGTTCTAAATTTCCCTACTTTGCCTATACATTTCTTCCCACAGAAATCACAATAAAGGCTTTTGTTCAACTTTTCTCCCCTGACTGACCCAGTTGCTCTCCTCTGCCATCCCCATGGTGAGTAGTGCCCTTTCCTCCTGGGAACTGTGAGTAACCAACTACCTTTTCAATGACAGTCTTCTGTCTATTGACGTGAATTACAATACAACCTAGATTTTAAAGCAGCAGCTCTTTTGATGAGCTGTAGTGAAAGAACAACTCTGAAGAATTCCTCTCTGCTGTGACCCAGAAGGGCAAAGCCCTGTTTTTGATTCCATCTGGGAACAAGTATCCTTCTGTAGGACACACTGGCTTGAGAAAGAGCTACATGGTTATAGGGCTTTGCTATATAGTAAAGGAATAAAACTTCATCTTGAAGTTGAGAGAGAATTTATTACCTAACTCATCACACACATATACAGAATACCAAACTGTTATTTATTTATTTATTTGTACCAAACTTTTAAATGGGATGTCTTTAAGATTGCTTCAGAAGAAAATCTCTAATAGACTAATAAAGTGACCATGATCATTTATGCCTGAAATTTACCAGTGGAGAATGGTGAATCAATCCTAAAATGGTTGAATTTAATTTTCCAATATGGCCACATTTCCATTTTCCCCTTGCTAGGTAAGGGCTTTTAAACTGGAATGTAAGGGGCTAATTATGAGTAGGATAACTTCCCCACCAGTATCTCTCTATCTCAATCTACCATTGTGGTCTCAGCCTATTCATCGTTTTTAGATCACTGGGCATATGCTGATAGAAATTATACTGCAGGAGAGGTTTTATCATACTCAGAAGTATACTGATTATTATCTTTATAACTCTCCTTATATGGATAGGATAAAAATTATGAGGCCAATGACTCATGCCAATGAAATTATCCATAATATTTTTTATTTTGAAATTTTACTTAATATCATACTTGCTTTTGGATAAAACCTAATCAACACAACCCAAGAGGGCCAGACCTTAGAAATAAACATGCAAGATGTAAGAGTCTGTCTTTTCCTGTCATCTAAGCAATTTCTTATTATCTCAATATCCACTGAAAGAATTGGAAGTTTCAGGAGATTACCTCTGATTCTAATCCTTGTGAT